TGTCCCCTCAGGTGCTGCCGTGTCCCCTCAGGTGTCCCCGTGTCCCCTCAGTGTCCCCGTGTCCTCTCAGGTGTCCCCGTGTCCCCTCAGTGTCCCCATGTCCCCTCAGGGTCCCCGTGTCCCCTCAGGTGCTGCCGTGTCCCCTCAGGGTCCCCGTGTCCCCTCAGGGTCCCAGTGTCCCCTCAGTGTCCCCATGTCCCCTCAGGTGCTCCCTCTCTGTCACACGGCAGCAGCGAGACCCCCGGGACACCCCTGAGCCACCCCGGGTGTCCCCGGTGTCCCGGTGTCCCCTGACCGCTGTCCCGGTGTCCCTCTGTCCTTCCTGTCCCTCTGTCCCCTGTCCCTGTGTCCCCTGTCCCTCTGTCCCCCTCTCCCCTGTCCCTCTGTCCCCTGTCCCATCCCTGTCCCTGTCCCTCTGTCCCTCTGTCCCCCTGTCCCTGTCCCATCCCTGTCCCTCTGTCCCCTCTCCCCTGTCCCTCTGTCCCCTGTCCCCCTGTCCCTGTCCCATCCCTGTCCCTGTCCGTCTGTCCGTCTGTCCGTCTGTCCGTCTGTCCCCAGGGTGGGCGCCCGGCCCGGCCAGCGGGGACATCAGCCCGGCCGTGCTGGTGTCGCTGGCGGCGCCCCAGGAGGTGACGCGGCGCTTCCAGGGACGGCGACATTTCCTGGCCGGGCGCTTCGTGCCCGAGGAGCTGCAGCGCAAATTCGGGATCGGCCCCCGGCACTACCCGGGCAGCGACTGCGTGGTGGCCCTGTGAGCCCAGAGACCACCGGGACCCCAAAAATCCACCCGGGACCCCAAAAACCACCCTGTGACCCCAGAGACCACCGGGACCCCAAATAAATCCACCCTGTGACCCCAAAAATCCACCCTGTGACCCCAGAGATCACCGGGACCCCAAAAATCCACCCGGGACCCCCAAAAATCCACCCTGTGAGCCCAGAGACCACCGGGACCCCAAAAATCCACCCGGGACCCCCAAAAATCCACCCTGTGAGCCCAGAGACCACCGGGACCCCAAAAATCCACCCTGTGACCCCAGAGACCACCGGGACCCCAAAAATCCACCCGGGACCCCAAATAAATCCACCCTGTGACCCCAGAGACCACCGGGACCCCAAAAATCCACCCTGTGACCCCCAAAAATCCACCCTGTGACCCCAAAAAACCACCCTGTGACCCCAGAGATCACCGGGACCCCAAAAAACCACCCGGGACCCCCAAAAAACCACCCGGGACCCCCAAAAATCCACCCTGTGACCCCAGAGACCACCGGGACCCCAAAAATCCACCCGGGACCCCAAAATCCACCCTGTGACCCCAGAGATCACCGGGACCCCAAAAATCCACCCGGGACCCCCAAAAATCCACCCTGTGACCCCAGAGACCACCGGGACCCCAAAAATCACCCGGGACCCCAAAAAACCACCCTGTGACCCCCAAAAAACCACCCTGTGAGCCCAGAGACCACCGGGACCCCAAAAATCCACCCGGGACCCCAAAAATCCACCCTGTGACCCCAGAGACCACCGGGACCCCAAATAAATCCACCCTGTGACCCCAAAAAACCACCCTGTGACCCCAGAGATCACCGGGACCCCAAAAATCACCCGGGACCCCAAAAAACCACCCTGTGACCCCCAAAAAACCACCCTGTGAGCCCAGAGATCACCGGGACCCCAAAAATCCACCCGGGACCCCAAAAACCACCCTGTGACCCCAAAAATCACCGAGACTCCAAATAAATCCACCCCGGACCCCAAATAAATCACCCCTGTGTCCCCAAATAACCCCCGGGACCCCAAATCACTCCTGGGGGTCCTGGGACCCCAAATAAAGCCCTGGTGGCCTTGTGACCTCAAATAAAAACCTGGTGGTGGCTCTGGAACCCCAAAGAAAGCCCTGGTGGCCCTGGGACCCCAAACCCCAGCCCGGGACCCCAAACCCGACCCCGGGACCCCAAACC